ATGTTTCTGAGATTTCCAGACGTATCTGCAGCGAGATAGGTGTGTCCTCGGAAAACGTCTGTATCTCCTGAACCAAAGGAGATGAAGATCTAGGCCTTGCGTAGTTTTGAAGAGAAATGTTTTGGCCATCTACTAGTATTATTTGAGATTGGATTTCATAGTATGGTTTGGGAACGGTAAGCTTTCGAATTTTGCCTCGAATGGTACACCATGGTAAACCTGATCGGGAGCCCTGATTTTTCCATGGATTTATGTTCCCTGATCTCCTCTTTCGAATGGTGAAAACTGCAGCTCTCTATCTATCTTTTATCAAAAGTGACAATCATTTTACCCACTGGTCTTCTTTTTAAATTTTGATAATAGTTTTATACAAATGGCTCAGTCTAGTCATGTTATATCGGATAAAAAGTCCTTTGAGGTGAAATATATTTGTCCGGAATGTGAATGGTTAATTCGTAATCCTGTTCAGATCCAAAAATGTGGGGACAGGGGATGTGAAGCTTGTTTAAAGCACAAAATCCGGTAAAAACAGAATATATCCTACAGAAGTCATAGAAAAAGTTTGAAAACTTCTTTATTTTAGTAATACATCAGCCCCAAAGTGTCCACTATGCTTAGAGTCTATAACCGAAGACGATGTAAGGAAAAAAGTTTGTCTATTAGTGTAAAACCTAGCTATATGCTTAAGTTTTAGCTTGTTACTGATCGAGGATTTGCGCACGAGATGGAACGATTGAATGTTTCATGTAAAGAACAGGTTAACGGATGCAAATGGAGTGGACTACTCAAAATTTATCAGGTATGAACCATTTGCAAAAATCTTTAAGAACACAGTAGTATAAATGATAACATTATCTCTGATCATGAACTCAAAACAGGGTTCAAAGAAAAATTTTCGTTATTAATTAATTTTCTTCTTTTCTCTTTCTCTGTGCTTTTCCCATTTCACATTCTATGTTTTATGTTGTCGTGTGAACAATTCATATAGTTGCATGTGACATCAAATACAAAAAGAACTTTTTGTTTTTTAAGCGAGATAGAGAGGAAGAGAACATCTATCGTGATAGGAAACATAGGATTTAACGCACAAAGTCAAAATCGTCTTTATATGTGAATGAGGCTCTATAGTGAGAGAGCTTTGATCGTTGTTTTCGTTACACACAATATTTGTTTAGAAATAGCATGATCTCTACTGCTTTCTACCCGCTTTGCGTTTTTTATCGCAAAACAGTAACTTTGAAAGGCAAGATTATATATTATTTGATACATCTTTTCAAGTGGAATAAATGTGAAAAACGTTTTGTCAGCTGAACCTTATTCCGTTATTTCTATAGCATTAATATAACTTAATTTGGAGATGAAAGTATGCATACACTATGCATTCAATAATCGAAGTTACATGAGAAAAGCGGCTAACAGTACGTATATCTGCTGTTCGAGTAAACTGCTAGCGTTGAAGAAATAGATGAAAAACGGCATTATACAACTATTGGTTGTTCTAAACTGTTGCAACTTGATCTTTACTCAATAAATGCTATATCATTGTCTTTTTACGAATCATTACTACTGGATAATGATTTGTTTTCATTTGTTATATACCTCCATGATCAGACCAACTCCACTCAGAATATATTAAACCGTTGTAATAATAACTATTAGGAGACGGATATACAACATTGTCTTACTTTTCTGCAAGGTTACTAACAGATGTGAAACAGCATCTTTTTCTGGTTACCGAGATATTGTAGCCGAAACTTAGTACCAGTACTAATTCTACACATTCTACTAACCAAACACAGTTTTGGTAATAGATAAGCTACAGAAATTTCGATTGTATGACAAGCAGATTCACCAATCTTTTGAGCTCGCTATGTAAGTTGCTAATATTCTAAAATTTTGTTGGTTTAAACCAATCAGATAAAGTAATAAGCTGAAACGAAAGGCGATGGATTACCGTATTACTTAATACATTAACTTATTGTGTAAAAGAAAAATAATACATAGATACGTAAATTCAAACAATTATTAGTAACTAAAGTAAACTCTAAATTTCCAAAACATTACCATTAAAAAGAATAATATTCTTCCTTCGATATCAATTAGATACAGCAAATGGATAGAAGGATAAACTAATAAAATTAAAACCACGTTCAATTGATTATCATTGATATGCTACGAACAGCAATGATTAAAAGATTATTCTTAATGACAAATACAAAATGCCGATCATCTACTGATGCTATGACGGTTTTTGGCACAACAGATAACCAATAAATCCAACGAAACCAGACGAGGCAATTGACAGAATAATTTTCCTGTTACACTAGCTCACATTACAATTCCTTGTCAATTCGATAACTGCCTTTTCAGACAAGTTTTACATTCTTTAAATACTGTTTGAGACATAATAACAGTGCGTCAAGACACAACTTTTAATTCAGTATTTAAAAGACATCTATTCAGCCGACGATGAACGTTCGCCTAGTCATCACTCCACAATGAAAACAATAATATATGCGGAATTCAAGAACTACATAGCTGCTGAAACGAGTATCTCTTCAATCATTACTACTCAGCATTACTACTAGCTTAAGTCATTGTAAGTACATATTGTGGACAGTGGCGGATCCAGGATTCTACCGGCGGGGTGGCGATTTCTAAACGACATCGTCCGAGGTAATATGAATAAGTCTGGTAGTGTACTTGCATTACAATTCCGTTTCCGAGAGCGCGGCGCCGTAGTGCTAGATCCGCCACTGATTGTGGATGATCGCAGAATCAACTGATATGAGATATCATCAGTGGATAATTCGATAATTTTCGTATTAATATAAACAAATAAAGCGAAGGACACCACATGATGGTTGAATCGGCATTAATTTTCCAGTTGAGTATAAATATTTGTCTCGCTTATGTTCCCTGATTTTTTACCGAATAGAGAGTCTGTCGAAAACAGTTTGAAAATTTAATTCAAACAGCAAAATATATGTGTATACATATATATCTGATTACTGTGATATTTGTCCTGTTCTTTTTACTTTTTTCTTACTTCACTTAGTAAGAAAACGTAAAATAAATAAAGCATTTATCACACATTAAAACTTCAAGAAACTTTTAAAAAAAAAACTTTTAAAAAAAAAATCAACAAAAACCCAATCATGTACATGACAGGTCATCCATTATCTGTTCTATAAGTGACTTTAGTTATACAAGTTAATACGAAATAAAATTAAATGCTGTATCATTAACGTCTACTGTAAACCATTTTTATACAAGGTTAACGATTTCCTACTGCCATTGAATCATATAGAACACTTTAAGAGCTAAGTGTTTCACTAAATATCGTGGCCTCACACAAAGCATTTCCTTCACCGGTTGACAAATGGACAAGCTTTAGCTGACAAAACATTTTTTCGCATTTATTCTACTTGAAAAAATGTATCGAATGATAAATGATCTTTTCTTTCAACGTTACTATTTTGTGGCAAAACGCGCTAATGTTGGTGCAACAGAACAAAAGAAACACTACCGCTGACGGGGGACTATGTCAGATTCGTGTTTGTGAACAAAACTTCCTTGGTTTAGACGCACTTGGATGATTGTCACGCCGTTCAATCATGTGAACACTGTGGTAAAAGATTTTCGGCGTCGTATTTGTTAGATGACCATAAAAGGAATACGTGCATGAAAGCACCAGTAGTCTGTCCACTAACAAAGTATGGATGCAGCTGTAAAGTAAGGTTAAGCAATGAATATTATTTATTTTTACTGGAAAGAATCTCCTATCTGACTTTTAAGATTAGGCGATGTGATTTTGGTAGTCATTTGAAAACTGTACCACATCAGGAAAGTTTATTGAACTTTCTTGAGAAATTAAAGGAATTAATAAATGCGGTAAACCCTAAGGCAAAGACTCTCACAACAATGAGTACGACTGTCAAACAAAACAACATTGATCATTCTGAATCAATGGAAACTGAGCATGACAGTGCATTATATTCAGTTGCCCATATAAATGATTTACATGTGGAGCTTGCAAAGTGTTATGAGTTATTGACAACTTTAACACAAGCTGTTGAAACATTATCACTTGATATGAATCGATTGAGTGCACAATCATTATATTCAACGAGTTTGATCCCGAGAATATATGACCAGTTGAATGAATTGAAAAAACATATGACCGAAAAAGACAGTCACACTGTAACTATAAGTGCTAAACAAGAAAGTTGTCAACAAGATGTATCACATATAGCACAGAAGCTGGAAGAAATACGTTGTGCTTCATTTGATGGAAGTTTAGTATGGAGAGTAATAAATATCGCTGATAAAATGGGTGATGCTAAAAGTGAAAGACAAACATCCATTTATTCTCCCCCATTCTACTCATCACCGACTGCTACAAAATGAGAGCTCGTCTCTATTTGAATGGAGACGGAAACGCTAAAGGAACTCACATGTCTCTCTTCTTAGTGCTTATGAAGGGTGATTATGATTCTATTTTGAAATGGCCATTTAACCACAAAGTCACATTTTGTTTATTTGACCAGTCTGGTCAAAATCATCATGTAATACATTCATTTTGTCCTGACACAAAATCCACAAGTTTTCAACGTCCTTGTAGCGAAATGAATATTGCTAGTGGCATACCAAAATTCATCTCTTTACCTATGATTCAAGAAGCTCATAATAATTACATCGACGATGATACAATGTTCATTAAAGTGAGTGTCGACTTTGTTGATTTACCCAAAATAGTGCTGCGACACGTTTTGAGCCTCAATCCAGGTTTACCATTTCACGTACAGCAGTCTTTGATTAAAGATGAGATAAAAAAATGTCAGGATGGAGCGAATACAGATGCTTCAGATGCTACTTTCACACTGTCAATCGGTACATGCGAATAAAGGATATGAATCTTAAAACATTGCACAAAATTTAATCTCTTTAATATGTTTATCACTTTTATTATTAGAATCTAATTATGAATTTTTCTGTATTACTTAAACAACTATATGTTCATCATATTCAAAATCAACTGATTATACAAAATAATAACATTATCATGAATACACAAAAATGTTAATTTCTTATAACTGATTTTATTTCTCAAAATATTGTTATGGCGTTTGTACTGATAATTTCGCTTGAAAGAACAAACATTCTTTTCCATCTTTTCTTTCTCTCAATTCTTTGAAAAATAGCGATTAAAAGATAAATCTTCTTTTCTGTTCCTACTTACCTTGTAGAACATGACTGTTTACTTTTTTATTCGTCTTGCAATGTTTTTTCTTATTCCAAATCAGCGCGTGGACGCATACTATTTTCATTTTGAGATTTTTTGCAGTCGATAGGTTCCGTCATAGTATTAAATTCGTTTTTGTACAACTAGTGTTTTATTTTTCTATTCTCGTGCAACTGGTATATAGCTTCGAACACAAAGAAGAAGGAAAGTATTGATATACTAATACACACACATCAATGGACTTCTGACTTACTATTATGCCTTAACGGACGATATTCAATGCTTGTATTCTACATAATTATCGTACAAACACCGTGTGTTTTGGACGCATAATATTATTCGAAGCACTTTATACTCTGTAATCTGCATTCATATGCTTTGATGTAATCTAGATTTGAGCTTTTCTTCCATCTTTCGATAATATTATACACGATATTTCAGTTTGTTCAGGTTTGAGATACTTTTTATTTATGCGTAAGAGTAACTAAAAGGAAAACTATAATACCGAGGCTGCAAAACAATTATTAAAAAACTGCTATAGAATAACAAAATTCTCTTCTGCAGATCGGTGTTTCTTGAACGCGTAATATTATTCGAATCACTGTACACTATCTGATTTTCATTTATATGCATCAATGTAACGTATGCAAAGATCTGTC